GCCAGATCTAATTTCAATACAATATTAGGCAGTATAACATGATGGATGATAACAGGGCATTGACAAATCGGACCCAAAACAGGATAATATGATGTGACACAGAGTAGAAGTCCCCCAAACAGGTACTTTTTAAGATGTGGGCCAATGGGCTTCCATTCTGTCCTCTCTATAATGTGGTACAATGTAAGTAAAACATGTACGAACATGAAATGGTACATTAACATCATAATAGCAACAGCATGACTGAGATTTAGCCATCTATCCTTAACAACAAAGGTATGTGGTTTTTCTTTGGGGAAATACCTAGAATCTCTCTGGTCCTTTCATGAAAATCAGCATGAAAGTAAAACTCTCTTTAGGTATTTTAACAGGAGAGTGAGCAGGTACCCACATATGGAGTATAAATATTTAAGGTGTTTATAAGCTTGTATTTCTTCAGTTCTTTTTCCTAATCTAGTGAGCAGATGGTAGAGTGGTTAAGGCAGGGGCCTTTGGAGTCATAGTATTTAGATTCAAATACTAACCTGACAGTTACTAACTACATGAACTTGGGCAATTTCATCATTTCCTCCACCCCCCATTTCCTCAAGTAGAAATCGAAGATAGTACGAATACCTCCCTTCCTAGAGTTGTGAAGATTAAATAAAACAAGACATATAAAGTAGAGGTCTTGGCACATAACAAGCACTCACTAAATCTTAGCTAATCAAAATTAGTCTTCCCAGGACCAATTTAGTTTGGTGGTCTTCTGGGGGGCCAGAGGAGCAGTATTCCCCACAGACGAAGAAGGGAGAACTCCGAGCCAGGTAAGATGGAAATGACCCCATGATCAGCTGGAAGCAGAAGGTGGTATAGCATGCATTCTCATCCGACTTGGGTGTGACTTGGTCAAGACATCTTAAGATGGTTACTGACAAATGCCAACTCATTGTCAGAGTACCAGGATCAACCCCTACCCCAACCCAGCAATTCAGCTGCACACGGGCCTGCAGTATATAACAATGGTACTTTGCATTTAGCAGTCTTTATTAGGAGGTGCTGGATGGAGCTCAGAAGTTCAGTAGAAGATGCTTCATGAAACTGATTTCCGTATCGCTTGTCACTGTCTGAATTCAGATCTGCATTAATAATTCTATGACGATAATCTTCTGCCTAGCAATGGTGTCTATAACTTCTCCCTGCTTCCACACTACTCCATAAAATGCCCCCGGGGATGTTTACAGCTCTGATAAAGTCACTTCCCTGCTAAATAACCTTTAGGGTCTCAAGGTTGACTGTAGACTTAATATAAAACTTCTTGGTATGGCATTCGAGGATTTTAGAGTCCGGTTCCAGTCCCCCTTTTCATCATCTTTAGAAGATCATCAAGGTAATTGTTAGTCAATAAGCTGGAGGTCTGTTATCTGTGTTCAACAGGAACAATCAACAGTTTCATGTTTTAATTTACCTGTTCTAAGTTTCTTCACATGATTCCAATAGGTAGTTAAGGCAAGTATTCTATTTTATAGATGGGAACCCTGAGACCAGCTAGAGTGGATCATTTGCTTAGGTCGCAAACAGCAAGTTCTGCCTTTTTTTTTTCCTTGTCACCCTGCTTCGGCTCCTTCATATTCCTCCAGCATTTGCTCACGTGCTGTCCTTTTCTGGGGAGCAGGCTTTGCAACAGGGAGGGTGTAACACTGAGTTCACAGAAATAAAGGTGCTGGGGTTGAGTCGGCTCAGATGTGTTTTATTAGGTGCCCTTAAAAATCAGGTTTCACATACATTTCTGAATTTCTGGCTTTCCATGAAAGATCTGAAGGGATGGCAAATTGTGCCCACATTCCCCCGTAAGCAACGGCAGCTTGAGCCAAGCAGAAGCCGGCCCTTCGGCCAGGGGCGAGCTCAAGTTTTCTCCAGCTGCTACCACTTCATAATGCCTTATGCCTGATCCTTTTGACTCCCGTGTGTTCCCTGCCTGGCCCTAGTAAGCATTTGAGTTTGCATACCTTGATTTAAAAAAAAAAAAGAAGAAGAAGAAAATATCTATCTATTATCTAAAGATAAAACGAAACATTTTCATTGAGGAAATAATATGTGATTACTGTGTTTGAAGAAAGTCTTTGTTGGTTTGTACCATGGTTTGATTTTCCCAGGAGAGGTGATCTTTTTTCAATGTTATTTTTTATTTTTGACAACAGAACAATTTGACTCAGAACTCTTCATGACAGTCCTTTTGGATGAAAATCTTTGCAGGACCTTTTAATGAGGAATTGACAGGGTGATTAACTTATAATTCACAAAAATAAATGTGAGAAGGAGAAGTACAGGTCAATTTCTGACTGTGTTAAACTGTAAGGACAGCACCATTGGCAAGTGATCGTTCCCTTTTAACAGCCTTTCTAATTTTTCTTAATTGGATCCTTTGTTTTCTAATTGGATAGGGAGAACCATCATATGGCTTTCAATTACTAGCTGTGGAAGGTGATCCTGTCATACGGCACCACTGAGTAGTCAGACTCAACATACAGGACAAAATAAACAGCACTGCCGAGCGTTCTGTGTCAGTCAGCAAGGTGCAACCTTCGTGTCCTGGGTGAGTCCCTGCAAGTCCCTCTGAAACGGCTATAACAACTAGCTTGATTTTCCAGAGAGACTACTTGTGCTTCCATTATTTAAAGGGTATAATTTCTCAAAATATCTGCTCATCATAACATAGAAGTGCTTCTAAGGATACTAGATTATCATCTCATTTCCAGAAGATGTGCAAAGGGTACACACACATGCACATGCACATACACACAAACACATACACAAGAAACTGCCAGGGTCCTCAAAGTAATTGGTCTCCTCTGTGCTCTGGTGAATTTAGAGGTTCTCGTTACAGTAAAATTTCCCTACGGCTTTCTTATTTTACAACTTCCATAGAATCTCTTTTGCTTACAGGATTAAATCTAAATATTGTATCATGACCTGTGTCTGACCCCAACATGTTTTTCAGTTCTAGTCTCCAAAATGGCCAGGCCTGCATGACATCCTCTGTTCACGTCACTTCTCACTTTCCCTTGGAGGTAGTGGGTCTGCCACAGTTCTGTCCATGCCATTCCTGCTTCTTAGAATGTCTTCTGCGTTTTCCTTTGTCTGCTTAATCTTACCCATTGGTCAGGATTAGATTCGAAAGCCTTTCCTTCCCAGTAATACTTCTTCACCTGACAACCCAGGCGCAATCTGATTCTTTGTCAATCACTGAGCTTTAGTAGTGTCTCTGTACTAGCTTCTGCTCATTCATTCATTCAAAAATATTTTTTTCATCAATAAAACTGGACAAAGAAATACTTTTTCAACATCTCTGTGTATAGTGCGGAGCCCCAGGGTTACAAGGTTACCAAGTTGGTTGTGGTCCCTGAGTGTATTAAAGTGTTACTAGTCCTTGGTTGCTTGTCTCCTTTACTGGACTGTGATGCTACAGAGGGTAGGAATATTTGCCCTCTTTTATATTTGATCAGTAGTGCCTAGACTTGTACCTGGCTCAAAGAAGAAATACTCAGTGTCTTTTCATGTCTTCTGGATGGAGAATATTGATCAGTTTTATAGAATCTAATACCGGCTCAGTGAGTTACCCTATGATACTTACAACCGTGGCCTTTAAACTGGTTATAGCTAGTTAATATAACCATCGTTGCTGTCTTTGAGATGTCATGGAATCTGATGACCTTTCGGTCTTAACCTTCTTTGTGCCTTCGGTGTGTGCAAGTCCGATCCTATGATGGGCACTTTGGCTCAGCACCTTGGAATTGTCTTTTCCCAGGGAGGAAACACAGTCTCTGATTAAATGCCCTCAGCAGGCAGGGACAGGGCACAGCTGGGGTCTGAATCCAGCTAAATCCCATCAGATTGAAAATCAAGACACTTGGTGCTTTTGAAGATTATAAATCTGGAAAGCTGCGGAGACCAGGGGCTGGGAGTCCCCGCTCAGAGCCGGCAGTGCCGCTTCTCCTGGCCGCCAGTGCTGCTTCCTCGGGCTGGGGCTCCCAGACGACTTTAAAAATGGACACGTGACGGGAGAAGATTTTCACGTTGGGAACCTAACCTTATTCCTCCCGCTTTCAAACAGAGAGGCAATTAAAGTCCTGGGGAAGACAAAATTGAGAATATGGAATGTCGTGGAAATGAGGAGGACTTGAAATAGAATGCCAGGAACCCCGTCTCATGGCCCCATGATTTTCTGAAAGGTGTCAGTACAACTTCAGACACAAGGAGAGCTTAACTCTGGCTCGTGTGTTAGCTCACTGTCACCAGGGACTTAGATCATGGGGCTCTGCGCGTGTGATTTTCCGTGGCTTTGTGCTATGTAGATACGACCCACTTGGTAAAACTATGCTTCAGAATTCATCGTGGTTGGTTTCTCTGTTCTTGGCCATGAGCCGACTTACTGGTACCATTGCCAAAATGAAGACATTCAAGAGGGCAAGGGACGTCTGTCCTTCAGCCAGGTCTGTGGACGCTGGAGCAGCGAGCTCTTGAGCAGACGCTCTCTCTGCCGTATAACCCGTCTACGCTGACAGCGGGTGCCTCTGAGCTCATTACTGTCCTAAGTGTTTGCTCTTGGATTCGTGCTCTGCGCGTTTTATTTACATGCTTTATTTTCCATTTTATGAACAAATTGATAACTAGACTTATTCTTTATCGCACTGGATTAGTTTTATTTATTCCGTTTGAATTTGATTAAAAAGCTGTCAAACACAAGTCTACATTTGTATCAGCAGAATATATTCACAAAGCTGGGCGTGAGACGTGTTCAGCTAGAGCATACTTTTCAAAATAAAACCGTGCTTGCTACATGCGAGACAGTTACCCTTTTGTTTATCCATGACAACGGAAACTAACCATCAACTGGATAAAGCAATCCAAGTCTAGTCAAGTAATCCTTAGGGCATATGGAAAAAATGCCTTCTAAAAAAGTTTCTTTCGATATTGATTTAAGGTAATTCACCAGTGAAGCATCCTCAGAAGCATAATAAAGATTGTACATAAGATGACACAGCGAGAGAAAAGGAGGATATACAGTTTGATGAAGCTTCAAAATGGATGTTAACATTAAAAATGAGCAGTCATGCAATTCCTGTCTAATACAAAGACCAAAAGCGCAGGGCACTAATTTTGCCTCTAATTTATAAGATAGTATGTTTATGGAACTGAACATAGTATATATAAAAGACATACCCCATGGCAAATGTTTTGAACCGTCATTTTTCTTCAGGAAAATATCGCCATTCAACGAGAATTTGTACATCTCACCTTATAGCACTAAGGATAGCTGGACTGTATTTACACATACCACATTGTTCTTAAAAGATGAAACATGTCTATTTTCATTAAGAACCTGACCTCCTTTGTTCTATTTAAAAAATATTAATTTATGCCTTCCTTCTTCTTTCGGCTCTTCTTGAGTATAAGTAGGAGTGTGGGAACATGTATGAGGCAGCCAGGGTAATGAGAAGGCTCACCTGTGTGCACACATACTCCCAGCCACACGCACACTCACTGACACATCTCCACACACACAGCCACACACCGAAGGCTTGCAGCATTAAAATGATTTCTTTGGCTACGTGCCATACTCTGTGCGTTACTGAACAGAGTGGAGCATGCCTCGTGCACGCCGAGAAGAGCTGGAAGGAAGAGTGATGAAGGGGTTAATGTAGAACACATATAGGCAAATATTGTCAACTATTTTATTCAAATGTTTGGAACTTAAACACAAAATCATCATGAAGTTTTCACAAAATGAGGCATCTGTCGCTTGAAAGGAAAAAAATATTTCAGAAATATGTTTACAGAAATGTAAAAATATTAGGCATCGAGACAGATGTGAACATATTCTGTAACTTGTCTTGTCTGTCAGTCTTCCTCCGAGCCGAAGATCTTATTGTATTCGCTCAGCATGAGCTCAGCTATCTGGTTTTGGTAGACCATGTGTATCGCCATGTTCCCTGTTTCGTTTTCAGCTCGCAGAAGGGTGGGTCCAAATACGATCCCTAAGCTCTGGGTGGACATGAGGTTCTTGGAGGCCCTGGCCACTATCCTGTGGAGAGAGAGAGAAGGAAAGAGATTGAAAATTATTCCATTGGATTTTGAGGTAAAATTGTAGCTACTTTTGAATTATAAAGTTCAGTGTTCTTGAATTCTTTATTTTTAAAAAATTAAACTCCAATTTAAAGAAGGAAAATGAGGGCACCGATTGGCTTTGGCAAAACACGGAATGCAACATAAGTCAAAAATTTTCTAGTTGCAGAAAAACATCTGCCACAACTATTTAATCTTCTACTCTTTATGCTTTACTGTGTAGGAATAGAACTGGTGACTTTTGGGGGAAGAATTCATTGCCTTGTACAACTTTGTATCCCCATAGTACCTGGCCATTGTGGGTGCTCAATGGATGTTTGTGAAATGAATAAACGAATAAATTACACAGCAAAAATTACTGTGGAGATTTAATAGGATCCAGCCTTTGAGGTGTTTATAGTCAATGGAGGAAACAGGTGAGATATGCATAAAATATATAAGAATCCAAACATCAAAAAGCAACACAGACAATAGCCTGGTGAAGGTGGGTGGGGAGCAGGAGCAGGGGGTCAATGGGGCAAAAGGGGGGTGACATCTATAATACTTTCAACAGTAAAGATACATTTTTAAAAAGTAGAAAAATATATGCATGATTAATGATGGAAGGTAGACACACAAACTGAGAAAAAATTCATTTTTAGTGCTTAGTGTAAGTAGGGTGTTCCTGACAAATGCTGACAATATGAATAGCAGAGAAGGCGGTTTCTGAGACATGTAGGTGTATGGCAAAATTCTAAGTCTCTATATTCATCTTGGTCAGCCAATTTAGCTTACATCGAGGTAAAATGCTAAGTCCTGTAACATTTGTATACGACAAGAGTTCCACTGGAATCAAAGACATGTTTGCTTGTGTGAAGACTGTACGAAAACCTGGACTACCAAAGAAACATTAGCCTGTGGTTTTATTAATGGTAATGTCTTGCCTGCTTCAATACAGGATTCTTAGGAAAAAATAAAGCCCTATTCTTAATATTGAAGCTTACTTGGTTTTATATTAAAATTGGGAAGAGGGAGGTGTATATCGAAAATAGGGATTGTATACAAACTCTGCATTCCACCGAACATCTCAACCCAAGGGTTGTATGAGTGCAGAGAACAGGTAGAGGCAAAGGAGCACGTCACTGCAAGGCACTGGGGTGCTGGGTCGCAGAGCCCATTACAGAACACTGGCACACTGGTTGGACTTCTGGAGGACTGTTTGTTTGACCTATGTGGACCTACACAGCCCTCAGTCAGAGGAAGCAGGAGGACTTTCTCTATTTCCACCCCTTCGTAAACCTAAATCTCTAAAATATCACTTCTGTGACCAAGAGGCTATGCTTTCTTTCTTCTGAAAAAGATTGAGAAGGACCAAAGCAATCCATTTGTGACTCCTCGCAGCACAAGTTCATGGTCAGCAAAATGTCCTCGAACTGATCAATATCAATAATAACCAAGTATTATTCTAAGCAATTTTATTATCTCATTTTAATCCTCATAGCAATCCCACAAGGTAGCTTCTATTACTAGGCCCATTTTACAAATGAGGCCAAGAGTGGTGAAGTGTCTGGTAGCACAGGCAGTCTGGTTCCTGTGCCCGGGCACTCATCGTCGCTGCGGTGTGTGTTAGTGATGCCTGGGCTTGTTTTCCACTTTGTCATCTTCCACACGATTATCCCATCCTTCCATAGGAGGGTCTTCGTTTTTAGTCTTCACTATAGTACTGTGATGGACAGCCTGGTTACAACAGATTTACTGTGGGAAAAACGACTCTCAAATTTGGACTAAATAATGAACATATCTTGTCTCCTGTTTTATTTTAATTAATTAATTTGTTAATCCTCACCCAAGAATATTTTTCCATTGATTCTTAGATAGAGTGGAAAGAAAGGAAGGAGAGAGAGAGAGAGAGAAACATTGATGTGAGAGACACGTTAATTGGTTGCCTCCCTCATGCCCTGGGGGCCCAGGATAGAATCTGTAACTCAGGTACGTCTCCTTGACCAGGAATCGATCCTGTGACCCTTCAGTCCATGGGCCAACGCTCTAATTGCTGAGCCAAACTGGCCAAGGCCTTTCTCCTGTTTTATTTCTTTTTTTCTTTATTGATTTTAGAGAGAGAGGAAGGGAGAGGGAGAGATAGAAACACCCATGAGAGAGAACATTGATTGGCCACCTCCTGCATGCCCCCCACTGGGGATCGGGCCCACAACCTGGGCATGTGCCCTGACTGGGAATTGAACCAGCGACCTCTTGGTGCATGGGTCAACGCTTGACCACTGAGCCACACCAGCCGGGCGTTTTTCCTGTTTTAAATGAAGAGTATTTGTACCTGTGAGTACTGTTGGCATGGTTACATTTCTGGAAGATATTCTTATATTTTCATTGTATCAGTGAGTTATAGGAGACTTCAAGTTTAAAGTTTTCTTTGGACTATAAGGAACGATGCCACATTGCTACTACATTTACCAAAAGTCAATGGAATGATTCAAACATCCTCCTGACCTGAAGCAGGGGCAGAGGAGTGGGCCTTTGCTTCCCTTTAACCCACCTGTTCATCTTGGGTTAAGAACTCTTTGAGCCTCTCTCAGATCTCTTTATTATACAAGTTCTTTGTAAGATTCACAGTGAAGGAAAACAGTTTTTTCTTTTGGTTTTGAAGTGGTACCAACTCCTTCCATGACTCCACCAAACACACACACACACACACACACACACACACACACACACACACACATTGTTAAAGGTAAATAGGAAGAGAGATAACATAACTAATCAATTAATTGAGTGCCTACTAGGTCAAAACTGCTTTCACAACATCACTCCTTGGTAGAAAGGTCAAAGTTGATAAGATCTAGTTAGCAGAGAACAGGGCTCAGAGGTCATAGTGCATGGAGAAGGTAGAATAAAAAGCAAGAGAGCATTTTGAAAGTTTGAAGGTGAATAACTGATGTAGAACATCATAGCCAACAGGGTAGAAGAAGAACATTAAAACCTGGAGTCCATGGAGACTGAAAGAGGAATGATATAAGGATAGACTGAGGATTAAAGACTATTTTCCCACTAAATAATGGCTATAATTTCAGTTGGTAGCAGAAACAGTGAGATTTGGGATAGCTGGGAGCCAGAATTATTTTAAACTCTCCAAATGACGCTAGAAATCAAGGGAGGGCCAAGAGCTGATTGTTGGAGGGGGCAGTTATGGCTGTGAGGAGGTTATGGGGGTAGAAGCTGCAAAAGGTCCATAGCATCTAGAGGCACTTGGGTGGCCGGAGGGTGATTGAGCTCTCTGGGGCATACCAGAAAGATATAGCACGTGGACTCAAGCCACTGGGGGAGAGAAAGAAGGCTGAAATGGGACTAGACATTTTTTAGTTTCTCCAGAGATATTTATATTTTTCCTTCTTGGCAAAAGGTCTCGCCTTAGAATCCAGAGCAGGGCTAAAGCTAGAGGAGGAAACAAAGACTGAGTTTCAATAGGATGGAGGTAGGAGGCTAGGGCGGTGTGTCAACATCCCCGTGGGGAAAGGGTTCTCTGTCTCAGCTGCTGGGTCATGGAAGGGACTTCTGTCGTGGATGTCTGCCAGTGCCTTGGTTTCCTAATTTTCTGTGGACAAATGTTCTGCACGTGTAAACATGGAACAATCTTTCCATCTCAGACCTGCATCCTTTGTGTCCATTTCTCTGCACATTTATTTTATTTTAAGAAAATCAGCTTTAACTTATGAATGCTTTAAGCTAATCTTCTTAGAAGTAGACTTTACTAAATAACATATAGTTTTGTATTATTGTTCTACTTGCATTACTGCAGGTTAAATTTTCTTAGGTTGGAACTGCTTCCTAAGCTGGAAAAATAAAGTTACTTTCAATAACCCTTAGAAAAATATATTTAAGAAAAAAGTAAGAAAATGTGAATGTATATTGTGTAAAACACAAGCTATCTTGCTTATTCACTGTTAAAAAATGTGTGCTCATTTGTGGATGTCATATATATATATATATATACACATATATAGGTGTGTGTGCCTATGTGTGTGTGTGTGTGTGTGTATAGGCAATTTATGTTCTAAATATCAACCAACTAGTAGTAGTTGGTGTGTTGAGAAATTAGTCAATCTGTAAGTTAGAAAAGATACTGAGAGTGAAGACTAATTTGAGGCGGGGGGGGGGGGGTGTGTTACCAATTACTAAACTATATGATTCAGGTATATAGGCTATATATATATATACATATATATATATTCTCATATTAACATTTAAATTAGATTAGACCTCTTCTTAATAGACTGTAGAAATAAACATTTCTAGCAACAAGTTTCCCAAATTGGGGGTGTCTGGGAAAGTGTATTAATGCTATTATGAACTTCATTATTCACATGTGAACGTACCGACTCTACCTCAATAGACCCTTAAATAGTTAAGTGGTTCATTTAGGACCACATAGGAAGTCAACCATAGTTTCGAAAAACAGCTAGAATACTATTCTACGAAATTCTTGCAATCTGAGTTTGTGTGGTTTTCTTTACCACACATCAATGGCTATCATAATTTCTATTCTCACTGTGCCGACCAGCAGAGCACTGCGGGGGCCCTTATTTCTGAAGACTTCAACGAGTAAAACACATGGAGAGGAGAAACAGAGGCTATTGAAAGAAATAAAAGCATCGTATGGCAAAAAAAAAAAATTCGATAAATTCAATGTAGTATCTAAGATGGAAACCTCTCAAAAAAGAGTAAGTTGTATTTCCAGTAGCTTAAAATAAAGTTGGGTTGTTTATTGGACAGGGGATCTGATTCAGAAACCAAGTGCATTTTTACTAGGGGTTTGGCAATACCTCCAGGACAGCTTTCACGAAAGTAAGTTTTGCAAAACACCATTTCTGTGATATATTTTATAAAACTAGCACTCCAGAGTAAAATAAGTTTTGAAGCAAACTGTATGCCATTTTTTTCTTCTTGAAAATTCACAATACACAACAG